TGAAAAATGCACTGGGTGAATGTGTGTGCATGTCCAAAATCCTGAAAGGAGGGAGACATGGAGGAGAAGGGATTGCAGCGTGACCAAGCCCCATGCGGCGTTCTCACTTTCCTTCTCTCTGTGTCCCTCTCTCTCCAGCAAGCCATGTGCTTTTATTTTATTTTATTTTTTTTTGCTGAGGTTTTTGCTATAGGGCGCGTGCGCTTGCCAGAAAGAGAGAGACAGAGAGACAGAAAGCGAGAAATCACCCCCCAGGGGGGATGGTCACGCCGCAATCCCTTCTCCTCCATTCTCCTCTCGGGTTCTTGGGCACGCACGCACACGCGCCCAGCATGAGTTTAAGCCACCGGGTCCGGGACTAGAACCACTGTCAGCTACATGGGAGTTCAGCAACATAGCCATTATGTTAACTGCTGGTCCCACCATGTGCTCTTTAACAAATCAAAACAAAAAACAAAAAAATGGGGGAGAAGCTACTGCCTAAGGTTTTTTTGTTGGTTTTCTTTCCCATCAGTCCCCTTAGGGCAGCCCTGGAACCCCCCTCCCTGACATGTCATCTCCCCTCTCCTTTCTTTTAGGCTCATCCAGTGAGGACTGGAGGTTCAGGGCTCTGGGCAGGCATCGAAGTAGACCATGGCATCCCACCTGTGGGGCTGTGTACCTGGCCTCCTGCTGCTGCTGCTGCCGTCCCTGGGTTCCGACCCTGCCCTGGGCAAAGGCCTTCCTAGGCCACTTGACTCGGAACCCCACCTGGTTCTAGGAGGCCACTCCAAGGGCCTTGCAGGATCACAGCCTCAGGACTTAGACTTCCCTGGGGGGCGCTCCAGAGATGAGAGCCCCTGGAACGCCAATGTCCCCCAGGTCCCTGAGAGGCCGGCAGACTCTTTCTTTGGCCCAGCCCTGCATGGGCCCAGTGCAGCCCATGGGGCTCAGGGAGAACGGCTCCCCGTCACCGATGACCTCCAGATGGAGCGAGGGCCAAGCTCCCAGGGTTGGACAGGGCCTCCTGACCCACAGGAGCTTGTGGAGCAAGAAGCACTGGTCCCCTACCCAGTGGGTCCCCCCCAGCACACTTTCACCCCGACAACCGCCAGACTTCAACTCAGGGTAGTCACAGCCCCTCCCTCCCCACAGGAGCCTGGAGGCCAGGCGGGAGAGCTGAGGGGTGTGAGGACTGGGGTCCCACCGACTCCGACTCAGGCTCCTCCCTCCGACCACCAGGGCCCTCCCCACACTCTTGTGTCCCCCTCCGGCACTGTCAAGAGGCCAGTGCTAGAAGAACAGGGTGGGGACAAGGAGGACTTCCAGGAGGTCGCTCAAGGGCCCCTCTTCACCCAGCGGGATCCCGCAGCCCCTGATGCTGGTTCAGAGTCCCCGACTAAGGAAGCCCCCTCTCAGGAGCCTGGGGTCCAGCCAGACCTGGCACTGGCCAGGAGCCTTCCTCCTGTGGAGGAGCTGCCGGCTGAGCCCCCTGAGAAGGCTGGAGCGGGGGGGACCTGGGAAGTCAGTTCCCCAGGCTCCCCACCCAAGCAGGCTGACCTCCCTAGAGCTCAGGATCCCCTAGGACCCCAGCCCTCAGCTCCTCCGACCTCAGAGGCTCCTGATGGGCCAGCTAGACCAGGTGAGTTTCAAAGTGAGGGTGCCGAGCGGGGCTGGGGCGGGGGGCGGTGTTGTGGGGCAGCTGGACATCCCAATTCCAAGTGATCTCTGGGTTCCATTTCCTGGAAAACGAGGGTGGTTTTGCCTCCTTAGGGAGAGATTGGAATTTGGGCAACCACTGGAGGGTCAGATGAGGCGACGGCCACTTTTGTCATTTCAGAGGTATCGGCGATGAATGGGGCAGATCCCATCACCCCCCAGCGGGTGAGAGGAGCAGTGGAAACCCCGGGCACCCCCAAGTCCCTCATTCCTGGTGCCTCAGACCCTGGCCCAGCGACAAACCGGACAGAAAGCCCTGTGGGGGCCCTGCAGCCAGGTGAGGGCACAGCTTGGGGGTTGGAGAGGGAGCACTCTGTCCAATGACTTAGAACCCACATGCAGTGTATATATATCTATGGGGGGGAGGGGGGGTAGGACAAATACTTGCTTAAAGGAATTGGCCAAAACCTCCTTCCAACAGCTTAAGACAATAAACTAATACTCGCTGGGTACTCTAAATATGTAATACTTGCTGGGTGTTGGGTACCATGCTAGGTAAACACTGCACCCTCTCTACAACCCAGTGAGGAGGTGACAGTACCATCCCCATTTTGCAGATGTGCTTGGAGAAGTTAGATAACTTGCTGACCCCATTAGAGAATGATAGAAAATCCAAAAGTGCTTTTCAAAGGGCCATTTTAATATTGATATTATTACAGATGAAGCCGAGGAGTGGCCGGGGCGTCCCCAAAGCCATCCCCCTGTACCCCCAGTCCAGGCCCCTTCGACATCGCGCCGGGGCCTCATTCGAGTCACCACGCAGCGAGCCCGGGGCCCTCATTCGAGTCCCCCCGCAGCGCGCCCTGGCCCAGCCTCTCCCTCCGGAGCCTTCAGCCAGCTCCTTGGCTCCAGCCCCAGCCTCCAGCCCACCGGCCAACGCTACCGCGCCACCGCTGCTCTGGGGGCCCCTGCGGCGGGTGCTGAGTTTCTCCTGGGAGCTGCACGTCTATGGGGTGGGGGTGCTTTTCCTGCTGCCAGCCTTGTTGGCGCTGGCCGCTATGGCAGCCGCCGCGGCAGGGCCCCGGCTGGCACTGGTGGCCGCGGTACTGGTACTCGTGGCTTCGGGGCTGCGATCTGCCTACATGCTCGCGGACCCTTACGGCTCCCAGGCTCGGCTGGGCGTACGCGCCGGCCTGGTGCTCTACAACCTACCCTTCCCCTTGCTGCTCACGGCACTGGCAGCCCTGACCCTGCTCGGCCTAGGAGCCGGGCTGCCACCGCCTCTGCAGAACCCGCTCCTGCTGGGGGCCTTGGCATTGGTGCACGGCGTGGGCTTGCTGGCGACAGACCTACTGTCAGCGAAACCTGCCCTCAACCTGCTGGCGCAGGGCTTGTCGTGCGCCTGGGGCGCCTCCGTGGCTCTGGGAACGCTCTGTCTGTGCCGCCGCCGCCTACTGGAAGGGCCGCGGGGCTGGGATGCCAGCCCAGGCCCGCGGCTGCTGGCTGTGGCGGGCGCGTTGGGGCTGCT